TAGAGTGTGCATGCTCGGGTTACTATATCAAAGGATCGCAAATATTTTATTTCATGCATTTATTGTCTCAGAATTCTGAAGGTTAACAGTCTTAGTTTAAGGTGCCAGCAGGGTAGTGCTTTCTGAAAGTACTGAGGGGAAAATTCTTGCTTATATCTTTCTAGCTCCTGGAGGTTTGGTTCTTGATAATACTTGGTGTTCTTGGCTTATATATACTTTCTTCCCATCATTGCTTTCATCTCCACATGACCATCTTCCCTGAGTCTGTTTCTCTTTTTATAAGGGCACAAGCCAAACAAGATTATGACTCACATATAGTAATAGGCCACAGTATGACCTCATTTTCACTAATAGCATCTTCATAGATCTATTTCCCACTAAGGTCACATGCCAAGGTACCAATGATTAGAACATCAAAGTATCTTTTAGGGTAACACAATTTAGTCAAAAAAGGCATCACAATAGAGATCTTAGGGAATGAGAGAGCAAATGGTATGACAAACTGGGAGGAAAGTATTCCAGGTGGAAGGAAGAACAAGTACAAAGGTTTTGAAAGTGGAGTGTGCTTTGCATGTTTGAGGGGCATCATGTAGCCAACAGGGAAGAAGTGGAGAGGCCAAACTGACTACTAGGTCTTCTACACCAGTCTATTGAGTTTGGCTTTTATTCTGATTTAATAGATAATCACTAGAGGTTTAGGCATAGACCTTATGTAGGCATAGGACTTACATGATTTAGAAAGCATAATGATGAGTTTTGTGTAAGAAAAACCTACAAAGAAGATACCAGATATGGGACTTTAGTATAAATTCCTACCCAAGGATTTTGTCCTGCATAACTAGAAGAAAGAGGACACAATATACTAGAAGAAGCAAGCTTGAAATGGGATGTGTTTAATGGGTATCTGTTTAATCTCCAAGTGAGTGGAAATAACACAAACATTCTACAACCTCTACATCCAAAAGACATGGTAAAGCCCAACCTTCTCAGGAAGGGCAAGAACTCAGATCATCTGTCTGATAGCTCAGCTTAGCCTCAGAGATCATAGACTGACTGATTGGTTTAGGCCACAGCTAAAAAATGATGACCAATCAAGAACCTAAGAAAATATCAAGAACAAAGGCTGACAAACTTTTTATAAAGGGTCAGAGAGCAAATACTTTGGTTTGGGAGCCATACAGTATCTGTGGCAATTCCACCACTGTAAGGTAGCCTAACCATGGATGATACTTAAAGAAATGAGGGAGCTGTGTTTGAATAGTTTGCTGACTTATATTCAAGAACATAAAAAAAAAACCATCAACAAATTAATAGAGAAGCTGTGATACAGTCACACAATGGAATACTATGCAGAACTGAAAAACAAGGAACTCATAAAATAGTCTACAAAATGGATGACCCTGGAGGACATTATGCTGAGTGAAATATCTCAGGCACAAAAGGACAAATACTGCATGATGCCACTGTTATAAAACAGAACTGAATTGGCAGTTGGGGCGGAAACAAAGAAAAGAGGGGATAAATAATGAACAATGCATTCTAACAGATGAAAGAAAGAACTGTCTAAAGGAAATATACTATTAGGTATGATTTGCATGGCAATAGTCCAAAATAAGAGGTGCATAGCAAAGTGGACTGGGGGACTGGGGAAGGGAGGAAATTGTGCCACAATGGAAGAATCTTTGTGTATGTGAGAGTGTGTGTGTGTGTACACCGTCAAATCAGATCTGACTGGTACAGGATGAGATTGCCCCTCCTTCTCCAGCAAAGCATCTGGTGGAATTGAACCACGTACCTCTGGGATTGTAGTGCAGCTTCTTGCCACTATGGAAGAATCTTTTTAAAGAGAAAAGAGAACTGGTGGGAGGGAGAGTAGGGAGGAAAAGGTGCAACAATGAATGAATGGAAATCCAAGTTTTTTGTAAACTTTCATTAAAATATCAATAAAACAATATTTTTTTAAAAATAAACAAGCAAAAATCCAAAACAACAAAGAAACATATTTTTAAAGGTGTGCTTAAATAAGCTTGTTGCATAACCAAGAGGAAGTCATTTTTTTGTTTCTGGGACAATAGCAACAATAAAAAACCCTAGCTAGGCTCTGCCTAAGCTACCCAAAAAGTCGAATGCTGATTGCTGTCTTGACTACAGCTAAAATTCCAAAGATTCCTTTCTCCCTAGAAAATGGGACAGTTCACTGAATTCACAGTTCATTCCTACTATTGAACTTAGGTTAGGGAGCCCTGGTGGTCTAGTGGTAAGGAACTGGCAACCCAAAGGCACGAGGTTTGAATCTGTGACTCGACAGTTCCCAATAACAATTAGTGAACTTGGAGAGGTTATTTGGAAAAATGTAATACTTTCTCAACTCACTATGTAAGAAAAACTACCAAATCACCTTTAAAGCATAAACTCATTGCTCTCATGTTAGAATCGACTTGTGTCTTACCATCCAATAGTCTTACAACGCTGTAAATCACGAAGGAAGAAACTGCTAATTTTTCTCCCTCAGATTCAAACTGTCAGAGAGATGCAATTATATGATATTATATGATGCTGTTATTGCTGTGACTGTGTACCATTGGGCTGGAACCAACTCATAGCTGACCCTCCAGTGGCTTTTCAGAGGCAGTTAATCACATGGGAGGAGGTTGCCTATCTTTTTCCCATGGAGAACATGCCTTCGGGATTGCAGTGCAGCTCCTTACCACTAGGCCACCAGCTCCCTATATGTCATAGAAACTAAAACTTAACATTGAACTTGTCTCAGGAACTCATAATGGGTAGTCCCGTATCATTATGAATTGAATTTCATCTCCAAAAAAAACACACATTGTAAATCTTACCCTCTATACTCATGGAAGGGAGGTCTGGTGACTTAGTGGTAAAGAATTGTGCTGCCAACTCTAAGACAAGCAGTTCAAACACACCAGCTGCTCTGGGGTAGAAGGGCAATTTTCTTCCATGTAATTTACTGGCTCTGAAAACCCACTAGACGGTCAGTTATAAGTTGGTTCCAACTTGATAGTACGTAACAATATACTCATGAATGTATCCATTTAGGAGTAGTGTTTTCTTTGTTATGTAAATGAGACTATCTCAATGTTGTTGTTGTT